GAAGAAGAAGAAGAAGAAGAAGAAGAAGAAGAAGAAGAAGAAGAAGAAGAAGAAGAAGAAGAAGAAGAAGAAGAAGAAGAAGAAGAAGAAGAAGAAGAAGAAGAAGAAATAACAAGTGTGTTTGATAGGAGGGCAAAACAACAACTACCCAACAACCCAAGGTACGTTTGTCCAACCTATTAATCTCCTGTCCTTCATCATATACTTGAGACCTACACTAAGTGAATAGGGCAGCTCATGAAAAACTAACCATGGTTAGTTTTTGCAGCATCCAAGTGCAGATGCTCAACCTTCAGTAGCCCTACATCTGTGTTGCTTTGGTGGGAACTATTATTCAAGACATCTGAAAGAGCCCAGGTTAGGAAAAGCATCTTCCAACCATCTTCCACTTGATTAAGTTAACTTCATGATGCTTGGTATAGGTAGGCCTCTGGTACAAGCCATGATGGTGTCAGATACCGTAGGATGCCATGGTGAAAATCATGCCAATGATTGAAGTTGCACCATTCGTGTGATGTCATTATGGACATCATTTCCCTGGCTTCTCAATACTCACTCAAGCCTACAAGTAGTCCTCAACTTACAATTTGGGCAGGAACTTTGGGCACTAAGCAACGTGGTCATTAAACAAGTCATCACATGGACCCAATTTGATGGCCATTTTTTTCCTCTGATCATTAAGCAAATCATGAGGTTGTTCAACAAGTAACAATCTACTTATTGCTGGGTGTCCGAAAGAGACAGTTGAGTTAAAATGCCATTGATGGGGCAGGATGGAGCTTGGTGCATACTCTGGCATCATACAAATGGGATCTGAACTGCCTGATTTGGGAACAGTAGGACCGAGAAAGAGAGAGAGAGAGAGAGAGAGAGAGAGAGGCAACAGGGAGTCAGCCCTACCTTCGTACTGTTGGGCTTGATGCAGCGAACGAAGAAAGGGTTACATCTGGAGAGAGAGAGAGAGAGAGAGAGAGAGAGAGAGAGGGCTGAACAAAATTGCTTTGAGGATAAAGTGGTACCTCTAACATAAAAAAGACAAATGTGCCCGAGCTCTCATTTGGGAAAGCAAGGGAAATTTAAAATCGCTTCATGTTAGCTCATCATTAGGGTATTTCCACCGTTCCCTCCAAAGCTGCCCATTCCAGATGTCCACATCTAGATCCTCCTTCTACGACCACAGAGAACGATTTGGCCGTGTTTCTGCATTCTAAATGTTTAAATAGAGCAATGGTCTTTCTCGTCTTAGTTTTATCTTGTCTGGGCTTTAATTTCTGCTAATAAATTGGTCCGTTTTGGGCAGTGGGATTTCAGTACGGGTTCCACCTGGATGAACTCCTTGGTTCTCGTCCTCAGAAGACCCTTAGCTAGGCTCTGCAGTGACATGGGCCAGGACATGTCTGGTTTATCACAGAATAACAAAGTTGGAAGGGACCTTGGAGGTCTTCTAGTCCAACCCCCTGCTCAAGCAGGAGACCCTATACAATTCGGGACCAATGGCTCTCCAGCCTCTTCTTGGGAACCTCCAGCGTTGGAGCACCCAGAACGTCTGAAGGCCAGGTCCCATGTCCACGTTGCATCTACTAATTGACGTCAAGGCTGGAGTCCTGTATGACATACCTCTCCATCTTCTCCACCAGGTCCAAAAGCGACTGCTGGAACTTTGCAGCCACCGTCTGGGGCTTATACTTCCGTTTGCTGGTGCTGCTTTTCCCCATCATGGTCCTCTGCTGAGCCACCAGCTGAGCGTGGCTGAAGAAGAGGCTGGCCACTATCTGAAGCAAGAGCAGAGCAAAGGAGAAATGGCTTCACCCCTCTTTCCTCCTTCGTGCCCATCAGGATCCCAGCCTCTTCCAAGGAGCTCGGGACACCGTACGGTGTAGACGGATGTCCCTCCTCCCCTATTCGGTTGATTCTCCAGGGATTTGGGGAGGTGGGCTAAGCTGGAAAAGAAGGATCAAACCAAGACCCTTTAATCATCTAGAAGGAATTTGCTGGAGAACTTCAGCTGCTGGGCCATCACCTCCATCACATTTAGGCAAACCATGACTAATAATAATGGATTTACTGCTCTGCAAATATTGATAGTTTATATTGACTATAAGCTGCTTAGTAGTGTGTCTTATAAACCTCTCCCCACCCTGTCTTTATTTCTATGTTTCTAATGATATCTCACTCTTTATCCCTTTTCCAATCATTGCAACTAAAGTTCTCACATAAGCATTTAAATTTGTGCAAACTGGAAGAATTGGGGCCCACTGAGACGTCAGTCTAAGCACCTACTTTGATTTTACTGTTGACAAAAAGATCGAGGACATCCTGGCGAACTTGGTCATAGTTTTTATCCAAGAATTTATGCACCTAGGAGAAAACGGAGTGAGCAAATGCAAACAGCAGAGCCAGGATCACGAATTCTTGGAGCTGTAAGTCCAATTCCCTAGGTGGCACCCTGGTTGAGAAGGCTGAACAAACCATGGCTCGTTTCTCAGCTTTTGATGCTGTTCGTGAATGTCGGTTTCCAGCTCCGTTTTCCTTAGGCTGCTATGATGGAACGGATTGTGCGGGATGAGAATTCAGCCCAGAAGGCACGTAGAAAGTTGAGTGCTCGTCCTCTTAGCTTGTAACGGAAACAGCTGATGGCATCAAAACTGAAATCCCACAAACCAGGATCTCCCCAACCTTCCTGGACTCTTGATGGTTCAAATATGTTACTATGCCCTCTTCCTCCTTCTCTTCCCTGCAAGCCCCACGCCCTTCTGGTATTGATATTACCTAGTTGGGTAATGAAATGTCTTCAAGAAGACAACCAAGCTCAGAGAGCACCAAGGACCCCCACAATCCCCCCCTCCTCCTCCTCCACCTCCTCCTCCTCCCTCACCTGGTAGGTGACTTTTCCTGCATAGTGCTTGATCGAGAATTCCGGCAGCGGCATTTTTGGCTTGGAATAGAGAGGATTAGAGCCGTGATGATAGTGGCATTTCTGAAGAAATGTGTGATCTGTGGCCTACAAAGATGGAAGCATGATCACAAGTCACCCCAAGACTTTCAGGCTGACTTATCTCCAAGCTCAGAAGGAGGATCCTCCGTGTAAGGAGAAGACCTCGCCCCTACTCAGTATTTATGAGTAGGTTTTGGGATGCAAACACTATTTAGGGGATTCCTTCGGAACCTGGGCAGAAGGCTTTCCATAGGTCGGAAGCTTTCCTTTGAATTACTTGCCGAGGTCCACCTCGCCCCAAGCCAAGGGAGGCCACATTCACCTGAGGGAAACTGCTTTGGTCATTCAGGATCTTCAAAATGCCATGAGGCTTTTGGGAAATCAGCTCAATGCAAGGCTGGTTGTCCGTGAAAGCAATCTCTCTCCATTCAATCTGTTCACGGATGTATTCTTCCTGAGGACCACACAAGAGCCATGATTTCCTGCTGCCCTTGAGCACAGCAGCAGATGCACCATTGGGGAAAAAACAGCTGTTGCCATTTTGCTAAGCAACCTTCATGAAAAAGAAGACCTCTATCGGCATGCAAATCCAGCGGATCCAGTCTGGTTCACCCTCCAAAGCAGAATCTTTCCCATGCAGGGATTTCCTGAAGTTCTAAGAACTTTGGGGATGGACGTGCCTTCAAAATCTTCCGTTACCTCCTTGACCATAAACAGTGGGGAACTATTTTAAAAACTCTACTGCTATTTTCCTTCTGCTATGGAGGACATTTTCAAGGGTGGCCACCTGACTTCTAACCTAAAGCAGAGAGCCACCAAATAAAATGCCAGATGCATTTTAGTTTCCTTTGCACAAAGCTGGGTGGTGGATCTGATTCAACCATCAGCTTTAACTTCTCAAGGGCTTTGGCTCCTCCTGGTCTTACCTGTTCTTCCTTAAAGACGATCTTATTAAAGAAGTATTGGAGATATTCGTTGGCATAATTAATACACAGCTGCTCAAAACTGTTGAAACCCAGATCCTATGGGAAAAGCAGGGAGAAAAGGGACAAAAAGAAATTTAGAAGTTCCATCAACCATTGTGGATTATTTTTACCGTTGTTAGAATTTAGCTGCATGCTTTTTAATCAATTTTACAAATCCCGAGGAATTAATACTTCGGCAGCCATAATAAACAAATTAACCTACCAACCAACATGCTTAATTTGATGTTAGCTGCAAGGAACCGCCAACAAAAAAGGCTCCAAGCTTGCAAAGAAATTGCAAGAAAAGATGACAATCCATGAACTTTCTAAGTGGAATTGTCCACTTTGAGGGCTTGGTGGCAGAAGATACCTAAAGCTGAACTATGGCCTCTGTAAATTAGAAGAGGAAGGTACCAAAGGAGCTCATGGTTGCATCCTCCTCCTCTCTCTTCCCTCGATGTGCCTGACAGAATAGCCTAAAGTGTATTTTTAGCTTATTTCTCTCCTCCTCACCTCAAAGCCGTAGATATCCAAGATGGCAATCGATAGGGTGTTTTTCTTGGGGTACATCTGCTTGTTGACCCTGTCCATGAGCCAGTTGAAAAGCAGCGAGTAAAGGATCTTGGCAATGGCATCTCTGAAAAGAGAAAGTCGAGGGAAGACCACCCGCAAGGTACAACATCAGAACTGGAAGGACACATGCAGGTGTTGCTTTAAGCACTGTGGTCTCCAACTGAGGGCACCTACTTCCCTTTTCCCTTCCTCCCTTCTCTCTTTACCTGGCATCCACGGCACTTTCTACGGTGAGTGGTGTGAAAATCTTCTCCCTCATGGTTTCCTATCAAAAAGCAAAGGAAGAACCAAGATGGCTGCCTTCTCTCCCCTGCACCCACCAGCCCCTCTAGAGTAGTTTCACCGCGATACCATTGGATGGGACTTCTGGACTTTCCTTCTTGTGGAATAGTAAAAAAGGTTATTTTCATGTCCAAAAGTGGGGGCATTGAGTTCTGAAGATCTAAGTGTACCATTAGAGGCCCATGACTGTGAGTTACAAAGCTTTGGAAATGGGAATTGGGGCTTTAGGGTGGACAGAAAAGCTTGTTTGTGCATTGTCTAGAGTTTAGCTCCCTCACCGTCACTTTGTAGGTGATCGACTTTTGCAAGCCTTCTGGAGAGATCTGCAACAGCTCAGCCACGACCCGGATCTCCTTGGCGCTCAGCACAGAGGCCACTTCCTGGCAGTCGATCTGCAAGGACCCAAATCAGGCTCAAACATCTCCCCCTGGAACAAGGAATCATCTCTCCGATTCCAGTGCTGCCTCCTACCTCATACTTTTCAAAGTAGACATTCCCCAAGTGAAGGATGGAAGACAGGATTCGGAAGATGCTGTCCTGGTCTTGGAGGCTGAAATTCAAGACTTCCATGGTGTCGAGCAGCCGATGAAAGTCTTCTAGGTCTGTTTTCCCAGGGATCTCACAGTTGCCTCCCTGGGGAAGACAGCAGGAAAGCATTTGATTCCCAACGGCATGTCCTAGTGCCTTTTAACGGCAGGAGAATCCAGAAGAAACATCTTTTCTTCCAATGGAGACCTCATCATCTTCTGCTTAAGTGTCCTGAAATCAAAGAGCTGCAAAGAAGCACAGCTAGGCATCTCCTAGCACAACACTAACTTTTCCCTAAACGAGGATTGGTTGGCCCAACCTCGATCTATTCACTCCTTTCTCCTGGATTTTAAGAATTCACCCCTCTCTTTTTCCTTCCCATTTGCATCTCGTGAGAACTCTCTGAGAAGGTATCTGAGTTTTTTGAGAACCTGGTCTGAGCCACTTTGGGGACCTTTAAGCGCCTGAGAAATTGAAGAAACAGAAATTTGAAGGACAAAGAATCATCATGAAGAAATAACTACCAGGAATTCTCAGCTCCATACCTGGTTGAGATAATAGTAGGTTTCTGCACCTTGAAGACAAAACATCTGCTTTTGCTGCGTGGGGAGACCAGCTAGCATCTCATAAAAGATGTGGTAGTTTCGTTCATTTTTGGCCTAGGGAATGAGTCAGACAAGACTGATGGATGTGAAGGAGAATTATGAGTGAGAAACCAAGATATTTGGATCCCCGTGTGCAAAAACCCAGAATGGCTACCAATGAAAGTAAGGAAAAATAAAATAAAATAAAAAATACATAGGCTTACCCTTGGCTTGATATTTCTAAGCACTCTTGGAGAACTCTTTTCAAAAAAGTCATTTGTTGAGAGGGCTCAGCTCATAATGCTAGAATGATCTTTTCAATTTTCCTTATTGCCGGAAAAAAAACCCACTTCTGCTTTTTAATAAATGCTGAACTGTTGTCCAAATCTAATCCACCTCTCACTTCTTTCCTAGACAATCATCATAGTTTGAGCAGAGCTGTCCAACCAACAGCACCATTTAGTTAATTTTAAAGGATCAAAGTAACCAGCTTAATCCAAAGCATTATTTATAACACACGCAAGCTGGGAAGAGGCCCTTTCCAAACCAGCTCCCTGCAAATGCTATTTATTTTCTTCCAAAAGCTTCCGTTGCAGTTCTCACCTGCTTTGCTAGAGTCACCCTTGCTTGCCATGACTACACCAACCCAAGAACAGGAGGAAAACTCACCTGAAAGATGACTCTTGATTTCTCCAGAAGGTACTGGGAGGTGATGGCACCACAGATCAATCCATTGCTGGGAGAAACACAACCAGTCGTCAGTCACTTTTTCCAGTGCCGTTGTTAATATCAAACGTTTACTAAACAAACGCTTGTAAGTTGAAAATTATCTTTATCATGCAGGGCCCCTGAAGGCAGGATTGTACGGGAAGAAGCAGAGAGGCTGTAAGTAGGGGAGGGCGTGGTAGGAAGATCCAGGGTTTGGTTGACTTACTCCTCCAGGAAAAGTTCCACAAATTTTCCAAATCTGCTGGAGTTGTCATTCCGCACAGTCTTGGCGTTTCCAAACGATTCCAGAAGAGGGGTTGCTTCGAGAATCTGACTCAAGCGGATAAAACACAAGAGCAATATATATATATATATATATATATATATATATCCCACACAGCATGAACAAACGAGATGACACCTCCCGCCTTCCAGCCATTTGGAAACCCGCCCTCATGAACAGACGAGTACCTAACATGAAGAAGGACACCGGACCTACACCCATGAGAGCCACACAAGATACCACCACCACACTTCCATGTAGAAAACAGACTCCCACCCATTCAGAAAATGAGAAACGATCATGGACCAGAAGCTGCACGGCAGCTGCATCACTACCCACTTCAAACCCCTCTGAGCCATACATGAAGCAAACCGACACCCACTATGAAGATGCAGCAGGACCACGAACTAGAAGCCAAACAGCAAGATCACAACTCTCCAGCTCAAATCCCCCAGCAACTAAGACTAACCTGAGCACAACCAAGCCCCCCACCTGAACAGAACACGCCTCCAACCAATCAGAACACGGCTAACCCCCCAACCAATCAGAACACAGCCAAACCCCCTACCAATGAGAACACACCCCCACCCAATCAGAACACAGCCAAGCCCCCACCCAATCAAGTCCCACCCCCACTGGCAGTTAAAAGGAGGAAGCAGCTGCAATCTCCATTACTCTGAGAAGCACAGAGCCGGAGACAGAAGCCTGAAGATGATGAATGAGACTTCATCGAAACGTTGCCTAGATACTTCGAATCTTACGCGGGAGAAAACCCGAACAACCAAAGATCCACATACAAATACCCGCGAGAACCTCAGAAAACATATATATATATATATATACTGGGAGTTGAAGTCCGCCAGGCCCAAAGTTGCTAACGTTGGAGACCCCTGCATTGGAGCCAAGGGAGGCCTCTAAACCTCTACATGCCCTGGCTGTTACATTAACCTGATTTTTATTTAATTGCCCAAATCCAGCCTGCCAAAGAGAAGAGCAGTGTGGAGAACGGACAAAATGTTCCATGGGTGCCCCATCAAAACAAAACGAAACAGGGGAGCTAAGAGAGGGAGAGAGAGAGAGACGGTAGAGCAATCGCTGATGTGAAAGTGAATAAGTCAGAATAACCACTTGCAGCAGCTCAACCTCTGAGCAACGACTGAATTTGGGGAGCAAGATCCTTTACTGCAATCAGCCAGAAAAGAAAGTAGGTAGGTGTATTGGTCACCTGGGTCCAAATCATGGAGGAAAGGTTGGAGCTGAGACTTCGTCGCTTCAGCTCGGAGGAAACTGCCACCCTCGTTCAATAAGTCAACCGATAAGGGACGGAGATGGATCGGTTGCTCAGAGGGGAGCCCTCATTCTCCAAGACAGGTGGGAAAAGGAGACAGCGAGGAACTAATCCCTACACAACTGAATTCATGCACGCACCACGGCATTAACCAGGGCTGGGGAAAAAAAATGAAACCTGATGCACAGCATGCCCCATACCTTTATCTAGGGAAGCATCAGGCAGCAGAAGGCAGGAAGCAAAGGTAGGTCTTCAAAGATTCAGGGCAGTTCCCCCTTCAAGCACCCATTGACCTTAGCTGGGCCTTAGGTGAGCATCAAGGCTTGGGCTGAGCCTCGTTGCCTCTGCTCACCCTCTCCGTCCTACCTGCTGAGTCGCAAGGTGTTTCTGGTTGATAGCTGCCAGATAACGAAGGATCAGTTTGGTGGCCTCAGTTTTGCCTGATCCGCTTTCTCCGCTAGGAGCAAACCAGAAGGAAGGCATGTAACTCAATGCAATTTAACTCCCCGCTCAAAACGACGTTATAGGGTCCTGCACCCCAGAACAACTAGACACAAGGTGAGTTTTTCCCCAAACGCCTCACTCTACTGAACAAATAATTTCCTCAACACTGTCCAACTATTTACAAAGTCTTCACTACTATTACTATTCATCTTCTCATCTTCTCATCACTCCTCATCGCCCATCCCCTCCCACTTGTGACTGTATGGCTGTCCTTATGATTGTATCCTTACGATTTATATGGACTGTTTCCTAGTATGATTTGATGGCTTAGTGTACCCTATGACTATTATTGTTGGACCTGATGATTCTTGACTCTTGATAAAAGTATCTTTTCTTTTTATGTATGTTGAGAGCATTTGCACCAAGACAAATTCCTTCTGTGTCCAATTCCAAGCGTCCAACACTTGGCCAATGAAGAATTCTATTCTATTCTATTCTATTCTATTCTATTCTATTCTATTCTATTCTATTCTATTCTATTCTATTCTATTCCATTCCATTCCATTCCATTCCATTCCATTCCATTCCATTCCACGTAAGGACCCTTGAGCCCAAGGAAACCTCTCAACAGGGACCTAACCTGAAAGGAGATGGGGGAGGGGTCCTCTTTCTTCTTAGATACTTTGAGGACTATTGTCAGAGGGAACGTCCCAAGCTCACCTAATAATGATACATTGGTTGAGTTTGGCATCTCTCAACTTGCTGTAGGCAACATTAATGATTGCAAAAAGGTGTCTGCAAAAGAAAAAGAAGGAAAGAAAGTTTCGAGCTGTCTTTAAAAACGGGGGACAGGTTGCTCTCAAATCAAGTGTGGCGCCTTTCTATCTAGCATTCCCACAAGGCTCAGTGACAATAGCTTAGAAACATAAGGAAGGAACCACTTATAGAAACACCAATACAGGCAGTTCTACCTAGTTGCAATCTTAGAGAATCACTGCCAGTTAAAATAAAAATATATAGGAGGGAGACCAGTTGTTCATTCACGCTTTTCTAGATGTTTTGGATTCCCAGCCCTAACCAATAAAGGCAGAGAACCAGAATGATAGGAATTGTAGTTGCAAATCCTCTGGAAGTCTCTAGTTTGCTGGGTGAGAAGACTCAGTGGTGACTGAGACACTATTCACTCAAACCTCTGAGATTTCAAGAAGTGCCTGGTCAGCCTTTCCCGACCCACAGAAGAACTCGAGAACATCCTCATGGCCACCAGGACTAAGAATATTGCCTGTCCAAAGAGCCCAGGGTGATGAAACGGTCCCCATTTTGCAAGGATGGAGTGAAACACCCTCCAGATCAAACCTGCAGCCACTAACAGACTCACGGTGGGTTCTCTCCCAAAGCTTTGCCATCATACTTCAGGACGTGGTCCGTTCCGTAGATGTTGAACATTTTGTAAGGATTCACTGACACCAGGATACTTCCTATGTAGGTCTGGCAGAGAGAAAGTGGAACGTGAGGTATGTGTGTGTGAGAGAGAGAGAGAGAGATGGAGAGAGACACAGAGACAGACAGACAGACACATAGAAAACACATGCTAGGGAAAGCAAAAAACACATCCTGGAGGACTTGGTGCTCTGTGTGAATCCAAACACAATGACTTCATGCTCTCTACGTAAGAATAAACTCATGGTTTACTCTGGCCTAGGCAATTCCTATGCTTTATGGACAGACATTGCAAAATATAGGGTGAGAACTTACAAAAAGCGAGCAATATTTCAAAACCTTCCAGAAAGTTTCGTTTTAACAGCTATATCTCATTTAAGCTTGCATTTACTAGTAACAGAGAGTAAGGAAGACGGATCTTGTCAAAAGACAAACAGATTTTGCATATATCTGCCTAGAGTTGCATCTGGCAAGATGAACAATATATAAGTTTAATAAATACAAATTGGAATAAATAAATCTCTGCCAATGTCCTCTCTCTTACTTTCCACATAGCAAGAGAATAAACGTTGAGTCTTTTCTTCTTGAAGGACAAAGGCCACCAGTCACGTGCCGAATTCTCTACCCCCATCCCTACAATAGACTGTGAGGAAGACCAAGGCTGGTCCTCCCAGGAGAGCTTGTGGCTTAGTTGGGGTTTGAAGCCAGAACCTCCCCCTCCCCTCTGGGTGTTTCTTTCAATGGTTTGGAAGCCTGGGGAGCAAAAGTGAAAACAACCAACTTACATAGATCAGCCCCTGCTCAAACCTCCTTTGGACATTGTGCAGGACCACGTTTTCTTGGAGGTCTCTGTGGCATAAAGAGCAAACATGGCTGAACACAACACAACCTTAAGAAGGGGAAATAAATATGATCCCCAGGGGTCCCGTGGAGCAAACCTCATAAAGGTATGGGATGAAAAGACACAGGAAGCTTTGCTTCCTCTTGACATGAAGGTAGTAGGGCTCTAAGCCCCCCTCCCCCCCGGCTCAGGTGAATGATGAAAAAAGGGCCGCACTCTGCACATGAGCGGAGAGGTTAGTTAGAAGGGCTAAATTGGCCCCGGGTGGAAGATGCCCTCATAAGTGGACTTCGTCTTCCCTTCTTTTCATAGATCTTTTATTTAATTTTGCCCCATTCCAAAATACTACAAGAGGATCTGAACAGAAAAAGAACTTTCATTAAGATATACATTTTGTGTGTGTATGTGTGTGTGTGTGTGTGTGTGTGTGTGTGTGTGTGTGTGCTGGCTGGGGGATTGTGGAAATTGAAGTCCACCCATCTTCAAGTTGGCAAGTCTCTCAGGGGTGGGCAGCCTCCAACAAGAGCCCATCCTTCCATACTTACTCTAGTTGGGTCAAGTCATCCACGCCATCATAGCTCGCCTCTCCTGGGTTGGTTGCCGATTGCAAATTGTGAATGCAGTGCATCTAGAAGTTGGCAGAAAGACCCGGAGAAGGTCAAGACAGGCCTCCCAAATATCCCTGTCCCTCTCTGAATCTCCCCCACCACCCCGAGAGGTAGATTCAGCAGAGAGCTGGCAGCAGCTCAAGCATCACTGAAGGCATTTCATGGCACGGGGGGGGGGGGGGGGGGCTGATTCAGGCTGAAACCCACCCCTCCTTCCAGCCTGTTCTTCCCACCTGCCTTGGCACCCCTTCCACCTAGGAAAAGATGGAGGCTTTGCAAGTGGTGCCCGGCTACCCTTCTGCATCTGAAAAGGCCACGTCTTGACCGTAAGCAAACACATCGCTTGGATGTCATGGTGGACTGGCTATTAAGCAGTGACTCACACCATTATTCAGGAGATAGGAGTCAGGTAGCTGCTTCTCTCTAATTAATTCTCCCCTCCAGTTCCAACTCTGCTCCCTGTCCTCCACTATCACAGTGTTCTTTGGTTACAAGGGGATATTATGCAGACAAGCCGGCCATGTTGGGTGTCTTTGATCTAAGGCGTTGTGTCGATTCCCCGCAGAGCAGAGAGGCTGCCTTGCACATTCCCCCTGCCGGCTCCTCTTTAACTGAACCAAAGCAACTTTGCTTTTGAGATTCTTTCGAAGGAGAAGAGAAAGTTGGAGAGGGGGACGCACAATTATGGCTGTGTGAGAGAGACACCGAGGAAGCGCATGCTTGACTTCTTACAATAGTGGCCTCTCCTGCCTCCTTTGGGTGCCTTGATCAAGAGGGGACCTTGGGATCCCTCCCACTCCCCTTGTGGGGCCTTTGTCCACACAGGTGGATAATCTTGCCCCGGAGAAACTATTGGACATCTGAGGATCTTGCCAAGGACTTGACTCCCCTAAATGGAGCACAGACAAGGCTAACATCTGATCTGATTGGTGTTCGGCGAAAGACCACGAAAAAGCCACCATTTGCTAGGAATGTCCTTGTTTCCCTCTCCTTTCTATCTCATGGGTGTGAAGTGCTGGAATGGCTCTGCGAGGTGGGGGCACTCCTGAGAGGTGGGATGTGTGGGGGGGGGGTCTGTTCAAAGTCTGGCTGGGACTTGCGATGCCACACTAGCCTCTCGGCCACATTAGACAAGTCCACAAGGTTACAAATCCCTTGGGTGGGTCGATCTCCTTTGGGGCGTGTACAGTCCAGTGACTCAGAAGCTCAAGATAAATTGAACTCAGAGGGGCCTCCTCCAATTCTCACTCCCCCCACCACCACCATTTCTGCCTTCCAGCCTCTAACTCCTTCTGCCCCTCTTCAATATCCAGCGGACAGGAACCCTTTCAATTACCTTGCATTGCCAGTTCTTGTTGGCCTCTCCATATTCGTTCTGGGATCCAGAGGCTCCGCGCGTCAGGTACCAGAACACCCCATTCCCTCTGCCTCTTCCTCCTCCACGATGAACTTCCCGAGCCCTAAAACTCTCCCCTGGAGGGGGCTGGAAGAGCTTCTCTGAGGTCCGTTTGTTTGGCATCTCATGTACGTTCACGGTGTGATACTCAGACCACAGCTGGCTTTGCCTCTGGGACCTTCTCCAAGGAGAAGAACCCATCGGTTGGACTTGAGGCATCACCACGGCATATCTCCCTATGCCTCCTTCCATTTCATGTTCGAGAAGCTCAGGAGGTCCGTGGGCAAAATCTGGTCTTCTTGGCTTGTTATACTGGCCGCGAAGGGAGGGCGGTCTGGCCAAAGAGGAGCCGCCTTCTTCCAAAGTGTAGGGTCTTTGGAACGAAACTGTTCTTTGAGACATGGGGCTGAGATTGGGCCTCCTCAAACTGCCAGGGTTATCCCCAGGGATGGTGCAGGAGAAATGCCCCCCCAAGAGCTTACGTGCCTCTTTAGGAGCAGAGGACCTGACAGACATGGCCTCTGTCTTCTGCTTCATTGATGCAACAGCAGCTGGAGAAGGCTGGGGACATGGCTGCCTTGAGAAAGCTTGAGACTCTTCTGGGCCAAACTCCGCAAGATATGGATTCTCATCTCCTAAATGTCTCCTCCTTTCTCCAGGAAGGAACCGAACGGAAGAAGCAGGCTGGACCATTCCAGCCAGAGGCTGACCAATGCGCTGAAGGAAGTCCTTTCGGGGGCTTGGAGCTTGAGTGGGTGATTGGGGCAAGTGGAAACCACTTCTCAAGCTTCTCGTAGCTCCCATCTTGGGCGAGGAACTCCAAGGAGTTGCTTCTTCTTCTTCTGAGGTGCAAAGCCACCTCGGCTGGGGCTGGCACTGAGCTTCCTCTGGCCTGCCAGTTTCAAAGGGAAGCTGGGCATGAAGAGATGATCCTTGGGGTGACTCTCGGATTCTGTTTCTGTGGCTTCCTTGACGAGGCAACATGCAAGGAGACGCCCTAGCAGATAAAACTGGGGAACGATGGCCAAACTGCCTCAGGTGCTGGTTTCTCAATAATGGCTTCACTGCTTTCGTTGGGGGCTCAGCCTGCCTGTTCCAAGCCTGGGGGAGGCTTCCGGAAGCGTCCATAGGTACCCGATGAACTGCTCTTGTTGGTTGTAAGTGACCTGGTATGGGAGGAGATCCAAAATGCCTAAGGGATGGTTGAGGTGACGGAGGAGCCTTCAGACTCCTCCTGATGGGATTATGGACAGACCTTCCAGAGGTCCTATTTCTGGCAGAATTTAGAAACTCTGGAGTGCTGGAGGTATGAAATAAGGAACGACTGAAAGGGGTGTCCGCCAGGCTTTTAACAGATGTTAAACTAGAAGACGAGAGGTTGCGTTGACTTTCCAAACTCTTGCGTGCTGATGGGTGAGGGGAAGGAGGTGTCTGGAAGAGGGAGTCTTTGGATGAGTTTGCCTTAGTAGCTGTCCTGCGTCCAACTGATGAAACCAGGTTTTCTTTGGCTGTTCTCTGAGAAGGAGAAGACACGTGATTATGTGGACTCCTCTCCTTGAGGGAAGGATTTTGATGTCCAGTTGCGGACCATGAGGTGTTCCTCTGTGAAAACCTGAAGTCTTGCTGTGACTTCCTATGGAAAGTTGGCCGGAACGTGCTTTGCAACTCTTTGTGAAGAGCGTCTTGCATTGCTACTGCGGTGTGAGAAGGTGCGAAAATAGTGTGGTCTTTCCCTGAACCCCTAAGCTGCCTTGGGGGTGGAGGAGATGAGGACTCCAGAGGACTCTTCTCCCCAAACCGTGGAGACACAGTTCTTCTGTTGGGCTCACGCATGCCTGGTTGGTTCCTTCCCCAGTTCCCGTGGTGCTTCAGAATAGGTCTTGGCTGAGCGATGGATTGTTGCAGGAACTGCCCCAGGGGGCTCCCACATTCTCTTGGAGAAAGAGGAGTCTTCAACGGATGTGGATCCCGAACCCAGTTCCTTCCACCCAAGTTGGTCCATTGGGGCCTCTGAAGCTTGCTCAACTTTGAAAAAGTCTCCTGAGACCCAGAAGGCTCCAGATACTGACCATCAAACTGGGCAAATGGAGAAATCAGAGGCTCCTCCTCTTCTTCCTCAGGGATGCCTTCCTCCTCGGGATCCAAATAAGCCATAGAGATCTGCGAGGAAGGGGGCAGAGGGACATCGAGCTTCTCCTTCCCAAAGAGCTTCACTTGGGGCCTCGGGAAAAGCCGGAACTTCCTGTTCAATGGTGCCATTGCAGCCGTCTTTCTTTCCATCCCTCGTTCAAAAACAGGAGAAGGGGAGAAAGCAACGGGGTCACCTTCTGGCTCAGCCTCAGCTCTGTCTGCTTCTTCCATCTCAGCAATGTCATCCAACAGGCAGGCGTACGGGTTGTATGAAGACGGGGAGACCCATTCTCGGTCACTGTCATTAATGTCCTGCTGACCGTAAAACTCCTCCTCCTCCTCCTCCTCCTCATTGGGGTGTTCCACTTCTCCAGCCCAATATGGGCCACCTTCCCCTTCATACTCACTGCTGAAGTCCTCATAAGGCTCATAAGATGGATAACCGAAAGATGGCCCATATTCTTGGGGGTCACTGTGGTACCCGTAAAGGTCCTGCTCATCGTAGTCTTCCTCATAAGGCCCGTATCCTTCTTCCATCGGATGCCTCCCATAAGAATCCTGGTTATAACCAGAAAAGCCATACTTGAAAGGGGCCTGGACCTCATAACAACCCCGTTCCTCTTCATAATCTTCAAAGTGATCTTGTAAGGTGGCAGAATCCAGGTGGTTCCAGTGGCCAAATTTGTCTGGGTATTGGTCAAAACAGGTACATATATTGGCTCCAGGAACCCTTCTCATATTCGCTCGGTGTCTCAAAACTTCATCTTCCGAAGGGAAAGGCAGTTTCTTGGCTCCAATCTTGGCCAGCCAAGAGTCGTCAGTCGCTCGTTTGTCATATCTGGGTCTGCTACGTTTACTCAAGAATTTCCGGGTCAGCCAGTTGGTGACCGCAGCCACCTTGCTGACCACCTGGGCCTGGGGTTTAAAGTTCTGGTTTCCCTTCCTCCGGCAGAAGAAGTTGCCAAAAAGGCCCCCCCTTTTACTCTGCTGTTCTTCTGACTTCCCACCCCCCAACCGAATCAGCATGAAGGAGGACTTCTTGGTCTCCTTGACAGGGGCTCCCTCCTCCTCCTTCTTCTCCTTCTTCTTCTTCTTCCCAAGAGATTTGAAGCGCATCATCAGGTTGGAGGTGGACTTCAGCACCCCCTTGTTCTTCTTCTTCTTCTTCTTCTTTGTGCTGTACTTCTTCAGGCCCCAGAAGAAGCGCGAGGTACTCTTGAAATGGCTTTTCTTGGTGCTCTTTTGGGGCCCCATCCCTTTTACGCCCATGAAGAGTTTGGAGGTGCTTTTCAAGCTCCGCCTCTTCTTGGGCGGGGCCGCTGCCTCTTTCTTGGCCATGACCATGGCCTTGGTGGCTCCCTTCAGCTGGGCCTTGGCGTGTTCCTTCTTGGCCACTTTCTTCTTGGGGTCCTCTTTTGCCAGGCCCATGAGCAGCTGGGAGGTCCCTTTGAGCTGCCTCTTGGTCTTGGCAGGAAGGTCTTTGGCCTCCTTGTTGTCCAGCTCCCCCTTCTTCCCTTTGCCTGCCTTCTTGACCAGGCCTTTCTTGTCCTTCCCCTTCTTCTTCTTAGGGTCATCTTCATTCCCCTCCTCCTCTCCCTCCACCAGCTCGCTGTCCATCTCACTTTCTTCAGCGTTCCTCTGTGCCAAGTCAGAATCTGACCCATCGTCCAGCGGAGTGACAGGTTCCTTCTTCCCCTTTCGGACATTCTTCCCTTTGTCCTCTTTTCCTTTCTTAGCCATTTCCGAGGAGGTCAAGGGTGTTCATGCTCCCCTCATCTTCATCCCCTCCAGGGAAAGCTCAGGGAAACCTTGTCCATGCGGAAACAGAGAGGAGGAGGAGGAGGAGGAGAAAGTAAACATGATGAAGAAACCAGAAGATCTCAGAAAGCAACGTTTCCTGGGATCTCTTTGAAAACTGAAAACCAGCCTGGGAAGCTCTGAAGACCTCCTGTTCCCTTTCACCTGTCCTGTTTTCCGCAATTACTCATTTCAGGGTTATGTAGAGAGAAGAATCCCTTTTATTTACCTGGGGGCAAAGCTGGATAAAGTCCTTGTGGGCCTCCCAACGTCTCTCCTTGGCTTCAGCTACTGAAGGTGGTAGACCTCAACGGTCTTCCTCAAAGGCTTGAGACCCGAGGAGGGTCTGCCCAGGCCGAGCAGAGGTTGCCCTGAAGGCCGGTCTTCCACATCTCCGGAGCTGGCTGGGAGCTTTTCCCTCCTTCTCCCCCCAGTGTGTTTCCTGCAAGAAGCTGGGAGGAAAGTGACGGGAGCTCTTGATGTGAGCTGGCAATGTAACCATATCTCTTGGGCTCTTGTCCGTATGAATAATGTAAATGGACCAGTCCATCTCCAGACCGAGAGTCCCCCGGAGGAGGAGAGAAGGAAGGAAGGAAGCAGAGCGAGCCCCCCTTTTCAGCAATCTGGCTCTTTTTAAATCACCTTGGCTTAAGTGCTGTTTTAAAGTAAGAGAATCTGGAGTAAACACGTGGACCACTCCGCTGGCTCCGAAGGAAAACTAAAATCACTTATCCTGCTCTCTTCCCTCTCTCATTTTAACTGTGGTGGTGAAAGGAATATTTACCTCTTTCTGGGGGAAAAAACGCAGCTGTGCTTAAAGGAAGGTCAAGAGGGGCCCTTGTGGGTCCTTTTGGGGGCTGGGGACGGCTGGGTGGGAGATCATTTCTGCAGCCCTCCTTTCAAGGCAGCTGCTTCAGAAGGAAATGGATTCTGTCAGGGGACACTTGACCTCAGGAGATATTAGAATTCCCAGGTGTCTGGGAAAGAGAACGGCCAGGCACTGCAAGATAAGCTGAAGGAACGTGGGTGCAATTACACACCTGGGACAGGTGAGCAGAAGGAAGCTGCACGCGCACACACGGAGGCACTTTCTTATTGAAACTTGCCTTTGTGCCAGGTCTGGGGAGGTTTACAAAAAATGTTGTGCAACGCAAGACGAGGTTGAGGTTTGGAGTCATGAAAGGCAAGAGACTGAGGGGTGGGAGGGACCGGTAAGTAGGGTCATGATGGCAGCCATGACGGCATGATCAAAGACACAGACGCACAGATGCACAGACAAAAACGGGTGGGGCTTAGATCCCACCCACATGGTCCGTCATCTTTGACTAGCAAGTGAATAGTAACACCTACAAATTTAAGGATGAGAAACTGACAAGGGCAGGGAAACGGTGAGACCGAGAAGAGAGAGAGCAGAGTTGGAAGGGACTTCGGAGATCCTCTAGCCTGACCCTCTGCTGAAGAAAGAAACCCTACTGCATTTCAGGAAAACGGTGGCCTAATTCCTCAGGGGCGTCCTGCTGAAATCCAGATGTGCAGCTTTGCACCCCTGGCTCTTTGCCATCTCCTCACAGCTTCCCCAGATCAGACCCAAACAGGAGGAGAACTTGAAGGCAACGTGCAAGAGATGTAAGGAAGGAGCCTGGACCAGCTGGCCAGGGGTCTTACCTTTCGGATCGGACACCATCGGCGGCTGCCCCCTGGATGTCACCCACAGCGGGGGTCACTCCGGAGCCCTCGGGCACCCCAGCTTTGGCATGAGGTGGCAAACGTTGGCCCCTTGCCTCCAGCTCGGCCGATGCAAGGGTTCCTAAAGATCTAAAGACCTGCCCAAACCACCTGGAAGATGTCCGGTGCCACCAGTGAGGGGGAAGCTGCCACCTCTAACCAAGAGCCTTGGCAACTGTTGCTTCCCCTCTCCCCATGCGAGGTTCACTCCCCCCCTCCAGGCCTCGGACGTCATGGCCGAGAGGCGTAAATCAAAGGGACAAAGGAAGGGCACCAGCCTCTCTGCCAGGCGGCTGGCCGAGAGAGGATCACCTTTCCCTCTTCTTCATCTGCAGCCGACAGGAAGACAGGCACAGAGGCTTGGGATGGCGCCTCTTTTTAAAGAAATTCCTGCTGGGTTTAGGGATGGGGGGCTAGTTGGGCCCCCTTATTGGGGGCTCAGGGCCCTCCAAAGTCTGCTACAAATTGTGGGGCAGGGCAGCTGCTGGCACCTTTTCAAATTGGACAGGTCGGTGGGCGCGATTTGGATGGCATGACCGAACCCTTGTAGAAGGAAAACAAAAGGCAGAGAAGATTCTCTGCCTTCTCTTCCTGGTCCACCTTTAAAGCAGAGGCCAGGCTAGAGAGATTGATTGCTGAGGACTAGAAGCTTCAGTTTTAACAGAGCCCTAAAATGCCACCTGTAAGCCTTGAGTTTTGTATCCTTGTTTCACCCTCCTCTCCGTCCGTTTCGAGCGTTGGAGGTTTCCCAAATGATGCTGAATTTCAAAGCAGCTTCCTCCAGAGCGAGAATCGAAGATTTCTGCTTTACCCTCACAAATGGGGCAGGGTGGAGCATGTGCCTTTAAGGCTCTCACAACCACCCTGTGAGGTGGACTAACTGGCGCACAGCACCACTCATCAAATGCGCAGGCCAAATGCCGCCGCAGATCGCGCTCCAGCTTTGACAAAGCCTCCGATGAGAAAACTGGAGCCTTCCCCCCCCCCCCCCCCGCAGACGCCCCCATCGAGCTAACCTACCCCACACCCCAGGGCTGTTGTGAGGGTTGCAGAGCTGAGAACAAGTCTGCCCTTCCCTACCAAACCTGGTTACCAATGGACTAAAAAAGCAAGTATACTGAACGGCTGTTTTGCAGAATAAACGACAGCAAGACCACATGCAATAAAGATCAGGCGTCATTGGAACAAGAGTGGCACGGCTCACTTACCTGGGCAGGTGCTACCCTCTTCCCACCCACCCACCAACCCCCGCGTCCTGGTGGTGGGCTAAGCCCTCGGGACCGGCGACTCCATCCCCTCGCCCTCCAATCCAAGGGAGAGGCCTGGCAGGGCAGCAACTCCCCCGTGTCTGCCCGCCCTGCGTGGTCCCTGCCCTGCCAGAGTGGCTGCCAGGCACCTGCCGGCTCCATGCATATTTGATGGCCGCTATTCTTCCCTGCAGTGGCTGGACGGAGAGAGTGGAGGAGGGAACGTCCTTCGGAGGGAGCCATTTGCAGAGGGGCAGGGCTGGGGGTCACCTCAATACCCGGGAGCAGGGGCCACTTCGCTTTCTGCACCCCCAACCCCCCCTCGGGGCAAATTTGGACCTGACCCCACGAGACCACTGAGCGTTAAATGCAGGTAATGCCCTCGTGGGGGATTTGAACTACCCCCCCCCCCCTTATTTCCTTCGGTGGGTTTTAATGGTCTTTTAAAATCCTTTTTGACTCCTTCACACAAACTTCACACGCAGAAAGCTTTTTTTGGGGGGGGGGCGGAGTGAAAGCTGGAAATCAAACGAATTGGTGCCACTTTAAACACCCGGAAAGCAAAGGTTGGCCTTTAGTTTCTCACCACCCAAAAGCTGGAAGCTGAAGATTTGAGGCCCTCCAACCTTTGTGGGGCCACATTGTAGGCTGACTGGGGTAAGGAACCCCCCCTGCCTGGAAAAGGCAGAGCAAGCTGCGCGGAAAGCTATTTGCCCTGCAAACAGGCCGGGTTCCAGCCCACTACGCAACGGCTCAGAAGCGTGAGAAAGCCAGCAATTCCGACCGGCTCCTCTTCCTTGGATATCCGAGTTTTTCCAGGCGGAGAAGACCTGAAGCTCACGTGCCCCACCTATTTTAAAGAGAGACCTTTGGATGTTCTCACCAACGGGAGAATCCGGACTGAGGGGGGGTAGGAGGGCACCCCACTCACTTTCCTCCACCCCCTGGGTCCCCCAATTTTTCTCCTCCACCGTGAACAACTGAGGTGTTGCTGGCATGTGACCAACGGGGAAAGGCGTGAGGCAGGCCAGGGATCCTGGCTCATCAGCATCTGGAGAGCCAGCAGCTTCCCGTTCCTGACCCAAACTACCAAAATTTCGGGTAAAGGACTAAAAAAAAACCAGACACCAAAGCTGTCCAAACAAGCCACCGAGCTCAGCAGAACCGGCTCCGGGGCGATGATCAGAGCGAAGGGCCACTTAAGGAACCAGAGCCCCAAACGATCACAAGGAACTCTCAGCCTGATGCTTGTGAAGATTATGGGTGCCCCCATCTTCCCCAGCTGGAGTGACCAGCGGCCAACAGCCCTGTGGCTCACCACCTCAGGAGGTCCAGGCGGCGTGGAGAGCAATCTAAGGAAGAGCTCCACGAACAGTTGAGAAGTTCCCGAGAGACGGGGAAATAAACATCCTTTATTTTAGCAGGAGGAGGGAGAAGGACTGGGGTGGGTGGGGGGTGGGCTTTGGGGTCAGGAGGGGAGAGGACCGTGGGCGGCTCCTTCCTTTGGGGACCCTCCTGTCCGCAGAGGGGAGGGGGAAAGGCAGGCTCCTCACTCCGGTTCCGGCGTCCCACTCCCAAGGTCTCCAATCTGAGGCCGCTGACGGGAGGTCGCCGGGCTGCTACGATCGTCCAGTCTCCAATCGCCTCCCATGGAGGGACCCTCCACGACAGGCTCCCCCCAGGTGGCCCTCTAAGCAGGGCTCCCGTCCTGGTCCTTCTGTGTCCCGGAAAGGCTCCTCCCCCTTGGCGGCTACATCTCCCCTCCTGCCTGGGATTGGGGGGGAAGCCCCCCCCCTTCCCCGATGCCTTTGGCCAGGTGGGGCAGTGGAGTTTTGACACACTTTGCCGTTCAGCTGCACGGAGGGGAGCCAGGTACGGGCGGCTACTTCTTCACCACCTGGATGACGTCTTCGTGCTCCACCAGGTGGCTGAGCCCGACGCGCTGAGGGCTGTACTTGGTGCTGGTTCCCT